CGGGGCTGGCTATATCAGTCATGATTGCAGCCGTAACGAGTACAAGTAAGTAAGCTAGGTTTGCTGCTGTAACACAAAACTGGGAAATCTTTAGCGTCCTGTTGTTACTTTAAATTTTATTAGTTTTATATAAGTTCATGTTACTTATAGTTTTGAAAAGCTTAATTTTTAGTTCCTTTCTATTTTTAGCGACACAAGGTGGCTTTTGGGCTAATCCTACCACAATACCTCTACAACTGCCTTAAAATGGATTAAAGCCTACCTTTCATTGTTTTGTTTTAATCTCTAATTTTCTACATATTTGTGCGCATAGTTGTCTTTTCCTGAAAATAAGCGTATGATCCCTTGTAGTAATCCGTGTCTGGCCCCAATTCGAATAAGGAATGTTAACCAATAATTACTGTAAACTTCCTGATTATTACACCGCCATCTTTACGGCCAAACATCCACAGCAATGTTACCTGTAGATTAAGGTCACGTTTTGCATTTTTTCTATGGTTGAGGCAGGACGTTGAGTAACATTGGCTTTAGGAGGTTTTTGTAGGGCACAGGCTGAATGCACATAGTTAACATTATTTTAAAAGAGTATTCACTATGTTTATAAAAAGTGGGACTATATGCAGCATTTATCACATCATCTTACAAACGCGATGTAAATCTGTAGCTCCAGCCTGGCGAATGGGGCTACGGAAAGTGCTTCCCTGAAGAAATATGTCCTCTGGTAAGTAAACTCATATAAATAAGTATCAAAGATCGTTAAACTATAGTTTTTGTTTTTTCCTCAACATGGACTATCTCAATAACATCAGACATACTCACAAGTTGCGCAAGACAATACTTCGGCTCGCGGCCGAACAACGCCCCCTGACGAGCACAGTTCTTCGACTTTCGAACTTAGTGTTAGTTTATGTTAGGAGATAAGGTTTATCATTCTTTAAAAAATCCAAACAGATTGCATGACATATGGGTGTTATGCGCACACAACGAAATACCCTTTGGGCATTCACTAAGTGACAGTGACGCATGCAAATGGATATCCTAATAGTCAAGCGTTCATATATGGGGTACGGCCTAGTAAAATGCAGCCACTAACAAACATCAATGAAGTGTTTCTTATATTCTGGGAGTTTTTGGTAACGAATAAAGCAGCAGTTCGTTGGCTGGTAATTTTGCGTGTCCGAACTTACTAAACCGTAGACAGTAGTAAACTTGGCATCAACATCTTAAACGTGACGAAAATTATCCTCAATATTTTTGCGAAAATTCCCATTGAAAATTTCAGAAGATAAGTTGGCGAACATACG